TTTAGATGTACTATATAATTAAGTTCACTCTGAAAAAATTGTCGTGGAAAGTCGTTTTAAGATGTTTAGTAATCATTATAATAATTCTTAACACCTCCAAAAGAATCACTTTCAGAATTGCCATGTGTCAGGTCCTCAAAGTCAGCTTTAGAAGGTTTAAACAGGTCGTCTCTATTGGGAACTGGTTTAACGGCGGAAAAAATATTTGCATTCAAAATCGTTTTATTTTTTAAACTCCGCTCATGAATGTTGACTAAACATAAATAACATTAATATGAGCTTTGAGATACATCCAAACAATGGTAATTTCATATAGCCTTCAAGTTTTCTGGCCCTCTTATCAAAACCTCAATTTCTCAACACGATATGGAAATAATTCCTTTTGTTCCTGTACCTTGTCTTGGTCTCCAAGTTTTGCTTTAAAATACGCATAATAACATTTTTTACAAAGTTATGCCTACTTGTTGTTTAACCACAACACAAATTCCACAAATGTATCCGAATACATTAGGACTGTTCGCATACTTGCTTGTAGGCATTGTTACACATAACAGTCCTTTCGCATAAGAACCTCCCTTAAATAAAAATCATAGACAGCTCCTGCAGCTGGGCCAATCCATGTGTTGAGTCGTGTGGGACTGTACGAAAATAGTGAAGTTTCCCACCGACAGTCCATGAAATAAGTATGCTTCCATTGTGCAAAAGCTAAGTGTGATAGAAAAAACAAAGAACGATTCTGAAATCAAGATAAGTAAATGAGTCAATAACACATATTAAATTTAAAAGATCTGCTATTATACAGACTAATGTAATACACCAATATATATATATATATATATATATATATATATATATATATATATATATATATATATATATATATCAGTTTCGAATAGATGAAATTCTAAAGATATTGGTCACAATGTTGTCGTAATACCCAAGTCATAATTGTTTTGTTGTTTTATTTTTATTAGGTGACAATATTGAGGTATTATAAAATCGTTTTTAGAACAAGATTACTACTACACGAGTATTATCACAGAGCTAAAGTTTTCACGATGCAGATGTCTTGCAACCTCACGCTTTAATAAAACTTACGAGACTGAAGAGTCGAATTGTTAGAATTAATACTGCAAATATTCGCAGAGACCAAGGTAAACAAATTGTGAGCTTCACAATGATTATGTGTGGCCGTCTCATCAAGAAACAGAACAACGATGAACATATGAGAGGAAACTTCACTTGGCCTTTCATTGTTTATCCTTGTCCCCAAGCATGTTTATTAGCATTGCTACATATTCTGATAAAAATTATTGCAATAAAAATATAAGCTCAGTAGAAAACAAAATGAATGTAGTACATTTAAAGTGGGATTTCACTTGTTAAAAATTGACAATATATCAACTTTGATAGTGTGTTAGTATAAATTTGTGCGCTCCTTACATCGCACGCATTTACCTAGTTAGGCCATTGCCTAGTTAGCCTGTTTGATAAAGAAACATTTACCTCAGAAGTAACCACTACCCATTTTGCAATCATCCACCTGTTTATATTTCCTTCAACCGAAGTGCCAAGGCTGAAATGATCAGACAGCGCCATCCGATACGTTGACGTGCAGTGACAACTTTATGCCTGCCGTAATTGGAATGGCGGACTCAGACGAATGACTATGATTTGCTTCTGTCTGCACCTATCCCCGAGCGCTCCGCATAAGCTGTGCCACGAATAGGCAAGATACTCGCTTCTCCCTGACATAACCGCGCTGCTGAGCGACGTGAAGAACTGCAGTTATTATGTAGGCCCTGGAATATCCAAAATGAAGTCGTTAATTCTACGTTTAAAGATCTTGTTTGCTAATTTTCGTATTATCATAGTTATGAGATGATAAAAACAATAATGGGAGTAAAATATAAACAAATGTTAACTGAAGTAGAAATATGAAATGGTCAAATTACTGACAATTCGTGAATAACATGCTTCACAGCTTTCTGCCTTACACTGCCTACAAGAGTATTCAAATAATTAGGAAATACAAATTTTGTGGAAATACTGTTATGTAAAGTACGTATAAAATCCTGAAATTGCAAACATTTTTCATTTCCAAAAAGTTTGAAAATAAATTTGATTAATTTTAGTATTTGATATATAGATATAGATGAAAAGTAAAAGTGGATTAATTGTAATAACATCCCGCTTGGCATATGATTGAGTGGTGTTCTTCCATTTATCGTAATTCTGGCTTTTGTTCTATTCAATAATTTTAAATACAATACAAAAATACAAGTTTGTATATCGTCCATTAAATTTGTCGTAACAAAATTATATTCTCAAACAGAGTTTATATGTTGTTCATATAAATATTTTGATTAAAATGAAATAATTTTAATGGCAAAAAATCTAAAACAGATCTTAGTGACACCCAAATATTCTGATTCTATCAAATGTTAGCAAAATTCTATTAGTAAACAAAATCATACTTTTGATATGCAGCCACGTGTGCATTGTTCATTGACATGAAAAATGATATTTTAAAATGAGGCCTTCATTTTTTGTAGAACAAATTTGTTTATTTGTTAAATAACCAGATTTAGAGGGTAGCTGTAGTTGAAAAACTCCATTTACGCTGAAAATCGTTCAAACGATATAAAATAAAGAGTTGTTGCATTATAGAATATAGGTCAGCCCTCTGTCCGCGCACAAAAGCCGCCAATTGCAATTACACTTCGCGTAAGTGGCGTCCCGCGGTTGCTGCTCTGAGCAGCATTGTCTCGCTTCGGTGTTCTCGTTTCGCGCCAGCGCATGGATGTGGGCAGAACAAAGCTACAGTTTTCACTTATCTTTTCTTCCTTTCTATTGCCTTCTTGTTGCGGAGTATATTTCCCAGACATTTTAAAATCCTAAAATTTCAAAATTGTTGTCGAATCTTTAAAATCTGTAACTGATTTGTATAAATTTAATTTATTGTAAATAAATATGTTAGATTTAATTGTTAGTAATGTGTTGTTAACATTTGTCCCAAATGTTTTGTCAATTATTGCTTTTTGCTTCCAGAGACCTGAGTTATGTGTTATGAGAAACTTCTGTTTTTCATAAAATTCTTTGTTGTGATATGTTACTTTGCGGTCTTTGTATGGAACTCTTATAACACGTTTCATATTGCCATTCATCTCCCTTGTTTTCGTTCCTTGCAAACACTCACTCATGAGACTCACCGTTTGGGTCTCTGCTTGAAGTAGAGAACTTCATTACAAAGAGAGCTCTTTATTTCTAATTACATAAAATCTCTGTAACGACAAATGTGATTTACGAAGTTAAAGTAATAAATTTAAGATTCTTGAAAATAATCAGTATTCACATTTCCGTAATTGGAAGTTAAGAAATACACGTTTACATTACAGCATCTTACTATTTTTTGTTATAGTTTACTTTTTTGTTACAGTTCGGATGTGTGCATTATTACTGAAACTAAGCCATCATATTTGTCCCTAATATTTTCCTTTTTCCACTGCTACTTAGATACTCTCTTTAAATTCTTCTCTAATTCTACAAAGATACATAGCGTAACGGCACGTTCTCTCTCCCTACTAATGATTAAATTAGTTACTCCATGTTCTGTGAAAAACTAGTTTTCGACAATATTCCTGTTTCGCTTATATCTCAATCCACATGTATATCCATTACCGCCTCCATCGTTTGCAATTGAAGCGTTTAGGTTTATTAAGGATCAAAGTGCCAAAAACTAGGTTTCTAGCAAACGAGGTAAAAAGGATAGAGAAACTGCAAATTCTGCAACAAATCACTGACCTGTAGACCCTTCGGCAAATCATTGTCTTAGGCATGTACGTAGATCCATTTAAATGTATATCACAAAAAGCATGGTTTTGGCACTTATACCCTTATGAACCTAAACGCTACTTATACTATGTACCTTTGTTTTCTAATTGTTAACCCAACAATTCTGAACCCGTAGGAATCATGAAATTAAGGAAAATCGGACCCCGTCTAATCACCTATCTACCCCGGAGCGCAATAAAATATTAGTAGTAATACATAAATTGCGTGCAATCGTTTGTGAATCCTCTAAAAATATATTCAAAGCAGTTGGATGCCAGCCTCATTTTGTCACCCGGACTAGGAAGCCTACCTCCGACGGGTTCTGGATTCCATTCGACCAGGCGCGCCTCTCGGGAAGTACCCTGATGTGCCTGGTGTGTGACTCTCTCTTTCTCTGCCAGATGTCGGTCTAAGTTAACTAAAACCGAACTATCTGTTTTGGAAGAATGTGAGATCTCTTTAATGCGGGATATTGGAGGAGAGATTTAATTTTTCCTTACATCCACCAGTGTTTTTCTATCTGCCACAAGAGTGACATGGCTAATGTGAATTTCCCACCCCTCGAAAATCCGTGCTCTTCGGCCGGGATCGAACCGGCGCACTGACGGTTTAGAGGGACCTAGCCCGTCAAAGTGCTCGCAATAAAATAACACTGCCCTAAAGGCCCATTCACAATGCAAACGTAAACATAAGCATGACACATAGACGTAAACATTTACATAAGTGATAGACTGAAGTATTCACAATGTTTAACATAAACGTAAGCAAAATAGCAGTTTCTAGTGGATGTGAGACATTATAGTTTACTATTGGTTGGATGTGAGAATCGATTTCGAGGTATCGACTATCCATAGCCCAAATGGAGTTAGTTCGCCTATCGACTTCGCTCCAATTTCGATTCTCGACTTTGAGTTACAGTACTGTGATTTCTTGTGTCTTCCTTAAGCATAAGCACTGAATCTTGAAGCTTGCAAGCGGTTAAGTTAATGTCTTTCGTGTGATGCTTATGCCAACGCATTGTGAAAGAGTCGGCTTGTGTACGAAGTCCTAGCTTATGTTTATGTTTGCAATGTGAACGGGCCATAAAAGTGAAACAGAACCGCAGGCGCGAGGTATGCAACCCGGTGCGCATAGCTGACGCGCGGGCTGCGTTTGGCTGACCGCAGGTGTCGTGGGTGCGGCGGAAGCACGGGTCGGACGACATGGAGCTGCTGACGGTGGGCCGCCACACGTACAGCGGCGACTCGCGCTACAACGTGGACTTCCAGTACCCGAACAACTGGCGCCTGCAGATCAAGTACACGGTGAAGCGCGATGAGGGCACGTACGAGTGCCAGGTGTCCACGCACCCGCCGCGCGTCATCCAGATCAACCTGCACATCAACGGTGAGTACCCGCACACACACACGCACACCGCTTCGTGTGGGCTGCGCTGGTTGCTGGAAGAATGAGGCTCCAAGTCAGAGCCGGTAAAGATCATAGGTGACTCTAAACATGACCGAACTACCGCCTCTCATTAATATTGAACATTTTTAATCAAAATGAAAAAGAAACTTCACTCTTTCAATTTACAAATTCAGCATTCAAATAACAAATAACAGATTACATATTAAAACAACATTCGTCTACGGTTTATGCAATGTTTTAAAAAATGTGTGATCTATTTTGTATAACGTAAATTAAATTATTAATTAGTGTTATCGTTAATGAAATAGTTAGCCATTAGTCTTGCCTACTTATGGAATAATACATATTTTGAGGAAAACATATTTGAATCCCTCGCGTCACCGGGGGCTCTATGCGGTTTCTAGTCTGCTTATTAATTTAGCCACTTCTGAGCCAGTTGAAAATGTTTATTACTTAAGATAGATTCGAATTACTACAGACACGATTTAGATTTTTGGAACAGGTTTTGTTCAACATTTTATTCCTACGAAAATTTAAAATAAAACCAAAATATTTTGTAGTATTACAATTTTTAAATTTTAGAAACGATAATAAGTATTGATAAATACAGAGGTCTGGTATCAATACTTTTTATTCAGCTTATGATCGTTTCGATCGCATAGCGATCATCCTCGGAGCTTGATCGCTATGTGATCGAAACGATCATAAGCTAAATAAAAAGAATTGATGTCAGACAACATCTTTATTTATCTTTATAATAGAAGGTACCTACCTCACCAGCGATCTAATTAACAATAATAAGTATTGTTAGATGTGAAGACACCAGAAAAAAATAATCTCATTTATATTTTTCTAATCAATAGGATCTTGATCACACAGATGATTTGTTGATGCTTATTCAGCTATCAACCTTCAATTGACTACTTGATAATCATTAACTCACTTTAAAGTTTTATCATTTCCGGAGGGTCGGTAACGACCCCGTTGGGAAACACTGGTTTAGACATTAGCGACGTTTACAAACGGAGAATAAGAAAAACCCTTTTTACAATTTACGCAACAGAAAACAATTTTTAGGTATCGAGACCTCCAGAAATATGTATTTATATTGGAATCTCGACTCTCACTATTTGCAACTCTACATATCTTTCTTATCTCAATATATGTAGGCAAGTGAAAAGCGAATAATAAACTGTGTAGTCTTCCTCATCTTACTTTCGCTTTATTGTCTTACTATTGATAAGATTTCTTGGTAAGTCAAGCTCTAAGAGTTAAAGAGATAAATCGGGAGAGGTGCCTCAGGACATGACTGCGGTCACACTGACCGGGAAGTCCTAGGTTAAAGACCTTTTGGTGCCAGGATTTTTGACATTAGCTAGGTCGAATTCAGTGGCTATCTAGAGGAGAATTCAGAATTCAAGTGGCCAGCTGCTTTGATAGCTAGTTTTTGGTGGTTTCTCCGACCAACACCAGGTCAAAGCCGGAGCAGTACCCTTACAAAAGGGCCGCGGACTGCGCGCGATCTTTCCCTTCTCTTCCTTGTCCTGTCCTCTCCCCTTACTTACACATACCCTAATATGCCACACCTCTACCAAACTTGCCGTGGGAGACCAGGAGAGCTCTTAGAGCTTGCCCCGGCTGGAGCGGTGCACTACAGCTGGAGATTGGTGAGCAAAACCCTGCTATCCGATGTCAATCGACGCTGAATCTCACTATCTAGAGAGGGAAGATTATCGCTCACCTCCAGAGAAAGGAACATGTACGTTTACTTACGGGAATATAAGACCATAGCAGTGCCCGGAATTATCAATGAATAGTTAATCAATCTAAGTGATAACTTAATTCCATACATGATGTGCAGTTTGTACGTTCACAACTGGCATTCCGACACGATGTCCGTAGTACAACGGAGCACTGTACGCGGCGCCAGCGTCCGACTTATTTGCCATTCATGTGAGGCGACGGGACGCAAGGGATCCCGCTTTACGACTCGCCACCGCTGCCCGCTCTTCTATTTTTTTTTGGCCTCCTACGCTTCGCTTCCGGACGAGACTTTTTTATTCGCGCATTTAAAATGTATGAAAACTACGACGTTTATTGTTTTGTTTCCTCGCTCTCTCCAGGACGTAATTTTACGAAAGAGTGCGTCGCAGAGACCGGCGCGACAGCGCGTGCGCAGAACCTTCGTGCGATGGAGGGGGGAGGGGAGGGGAGGGGGAGGTGCGCTACCGTCGCATGCGAGCGCCTAATGCCCCGTTCAACACATAAAAGCCGTTTCCGAAAGATCCCTCCTGCTTCGCGATGAAGTCGCTTGTGCCAAGGAATAGGCAATGCGCGCCCATGGAAATGCCTGAGTCTTGGAGCATGTTCCGAATAGCGTTCCAAATTAAATTGTTTGAAAAGACACCACGATTTCTAATGGTGTTTTCCCCTGAGCAATATTCTTCCTTTTTGTAGTGTATAATCACGTTTCCTTTGCTCTTCTGCTCTTCTGAATTCGAAGGTTTATTTTATTACTTACTTATTTCCTTTCTCCATATTTTTTGTGCGCTTATCCGTATGTTTATCAATCTTCAATTTTCTTTTAATATGCCTTTAAATGTTTTCATTCTTCTCATTACTTTCAATTGAAACATGAACATCTCTTTCAATTGAAAGAGCTGAGATAACTCTGTTTTGATTTAAAACGTATTCGTAACTTCGTCATAAATTTGATGGATTCTGTAAGTAGCTTCTTATGACCTTTCAATCAAAAACATACCATGTACAAAATGCGTTTTCCCTAAAAGCATCGTTTTCAAAGAACGAGTTTGACAATATTCTCGAAGGAAAACAAATCAAACGTGCACTACTCGTGTTGGATATAAACATTCAAGACCTTAATTCCCAAAACGGGAAATAGGAGTAGAACTCTCAATAATTGTTAGCACTCTAAACAATTGTAGGCACTCTGTTCAAACATCTGTTGTAACTCAAGTATTTGTTTTTGCCATAGAAACTTGAACGATTCAATTAAGCAAATGCTATCATCAACTTACGAGCATTTTAGTTTTCTATATTCACTTTTTTATCCATTTTTGATACGATTACAATACAAACTCTTCTCCAACAAAGTAATGGCCACACTTTAAATGTGTATTCGAGTATCCGTTTGCTTTTAAATCAGAGAACTTTTCTTTCAGCTTATTTATTTTCGAACGCACTTATATACCGAGGACTTCGTTCAAATACTTCAATACCTGACTCGCAAATGTTGTCTGATCACGAATTAAAATGAAATAAACATTTCACATTTTAGACATATTTAATTAAGGAAATTATCTGAAATTGAGCTAATCAAATCTCCGAATTAATTATATAATTTATATTGTTGCATTCAATTCATAGTCTATGAGGGTTTTGAGCACAATATTGAATTTGTAATCTCCTTTTGAATATTTTGTTTTTTAATGAAATATTTTAATTCATCTCTTTTCATGTTTTAAATTAAATAGGATTATTTAGGATTGAGAATTGATAAGATTCTTTCCGAATTTCTACACTACGTGTGTCTCGTGCCATTTTTGTTGATGGTGATTAAATCCACATATAGTAAAATGCGTATCTGCAATTCTTTGCTAAAATCGAGTTTATCACCCATTTCTACCCTTTAAGACTCTTTCTAGTACGAGTTCCTGACACATTCTCACAATTTTCGACACGAAGATACGTGCACATAAAGACGTACCAAGTAGTAGAAAATCGTGTTCATTTTCGACATTTATAATAACTCATATTTTCTTCAAAATGTTCTAATACTTAAAATATTCATTAATGTATCATAGCGCATTTTACACATTAAAAATCGGTATCAAGTACATGTTATTAGTACATATGACGTATAAAATGGAAAATTGTTAAATATCATGTTTGTAAAATTTCTAACATTAGGAGAAAACCGGGTGAACTTGGTTCTATTCCCGGGCGATTACTTTGAACAATTTCACTTACGAAAAGGGTAAGTAACTTGTGGTGGCGCATTCCCCAAATTCGGTGGTGCAGACTGGAATGGTGTGGCGAAGTGGGTGGGCGACGGCCTTCGTATTGGCACCAGATCAGCGGCCGCGATTTGTTGTCTGCTGTATCCTCTGAGTTCACACACTCACGCACACACACACACACACACACACACCGGCGGTCGCCGAAGAGCGGAGTGGATCGAGCGCGAGCTATGATATCGCGTCATCTCGCAGGACGATACAGTTAAGACAGGAGCGGCGGGGTGGGGGGGGTGGGGCGGGGTGGGGCGGGGTGGGGGGGGTGGGGCGGGGTGGGGGCGGGGGTGGGGCGGGGCTGGTCTCTGTGCTGGGTCGGGTGGGAGTGGGCGGAGTGGTGACGGTGTGGCCGAGTGGGGGGCGCGTATGGCGAGTGGGGCGGGGCGAGCGCGGCGGTTTGAAGTGGGGGGGGCGGGAGCAGGTCCTAGTCGTTAACAAGGGCCCACTGGCGCAATGCGCGTTAGAGGGCGGGTGGGAATCCGGGCGATGGGGGAAGAACCGAAGCGAGGTCAGGGTCACCAGGCGAGGGAGAAGTAAATGACCGCGGTCGGGAACGAAGATATGATGGATGCCTTTTATTCTGAGGAACCGCTCAAATAAGGCTACGCAAGTATTATCAAAGTGATTCTTTCCGGGAGAGTTGAAGATAGCCGGTAGAACATTTTGTACATAAATATTATTTGTTAAGTTGGCAAATTGAATTACGATGTCGTATGAACGCATTCATTATTGTACCTGTGAAATATTCGGGTACACACTTATCGAAGATTTCTGAGTAAAATATTTTATGAATACATTAAATGTCTGTTGGTAATAAATCAACATTCTTACCTTAATTCAACAATGTATAGAAGTATTGTGTTTCCACTTTTCTATTAATGAACATGTTCGTTTTCCTATCGCTGTAATGTGAATTGTTTTGTATGCAGCTTTAAATCTCTCAAG